CCTAGCCACTGGCCAATCAGTGATTTATTTATTGACCAATCAGCAACACAGTTGACATACAGGCCATCCCACAGCAGGGCCACCTGCTGAGGGAATGGGATCATCTGCCAATGGATTGGGGACATCTTCTGACCACACAAGACATATGCTGAGTGCATAGGACACCTGTAGAAGGGCAGGTCCACCTGCTGCAGTACACAGCTGTACAAAAGTATATGTATAGATTGTAACATAAAGTATTTCCTCATACCAAAGTCCCTAACCTAATTTACATGTCTTACTGAAGGGGAGCACCACCTGTCTCCATGACTATAGTCTTCCATTAAGCATTGTATGCAATATACAATATACAATAATACAAGGTGTGCCTAAGGTGTCCTGTGACCAAAGTCATTGGATGGCCGCAGGGCCCCCTCAGTAAAACAATCATTTTCCACAAGGATTCTTGTTTAAAAAAAAAATCTGTTCTTCTAATCTCTATCCCATACAGTGATTTTGTTAATTCCTACAGAGTACAGGTAGCATGTTTTTCACCTCTCTTACATGATTTAAAACAAAATCTTCCCAATATCCTATATACATTTACATTGAAGTAACTTATTACAGATTAACAGAACATGAGCAGACAGAAAGCATCTTCTCACAATCAACTCCCTTGCTGGCAGGCTACCAAGCAAGAATTCTACTGTCTATCTTGAAAGATAATCTTACAAGGAATCTCAAACCTAACTTTTGTACATTAAAAGACAATCAGTCAGCTGTATATCTTTATGGTGTACACCCATCTATTACTAGTTTCTTATATCAAGATATTGAGAGTAGGAATGGGTACAAGGAGTTAATTATCACCTCTGATCAACAAGTAACCTTAACAGTTGGGTCACTTTATATTTTTAACCTCAACTATGTGTCCTTATGGACACTGTAGGGAAAAGAGGCTAGCTAAAGAAACCCACCCTGACCCTGGAGCCCAGAATCAGGGAAAGAAAAACAGCCTAGATCTGGGACCCAAGTCATAGAAACACTTTATCCCTGAACTCAGAACCAAAGAAACATGCCCTGTCTCTAAAACCAGTGCCAAAGAAACACACTTTGTCCCTGGCATCAGAGTCAGTGAAAGAAATATGCCCTGGCCTTAGAATTAGAGCCAAAACACTAAAGGCCAGTGAAAGAAACACAGTTTAGCTCTAAAATCAGGGCCATCTCTGGCTCCGACCAACAAAACTAACCAATCCCTGGATAGAAAAAGTTATTCCTGGGAGAAACTTCACTCCCAAGAGATCCTATATAAACCACCCTTTTCCAGTTGTTCTTTCCCACCCTGGAAGAGTCAGTCATTTTCCTGGACTCCTCCTTCCCCCAAAAATCTCTTTCTCAAGAGTCTTGAGTGTGAAGATCTTCATTTGCCAGTGCAGAGAAGAACCTCACTAAGACATCCCTTAGTGAACTGAGCAGAAAAAAACTTGTAGAGACTTTCCCTTAGGGGACTAAGCAAGGCAGAGCAGAAAAAGTAGCAACTTTTCTCTGGAGCTGGAGGAGATTGTTACATTTATGCAAGGGTCTCCTCTGTAGCAGAGTGAAGCAAAAGAAGCAACATCTTGGTCTGAAGAAGCAGAGCTCTGCTGGAAAGCCCCCTTAAGTGAGGGCTGAGTAAAGCTCAGCTGTAGTGGCTCTCCAGGAGAAGTGCAGGATTGCTATATTCTGTGGTGAGACCATCCCCTACTACACCACAACTCCAGGAATTGCCTGACTCCCAAACAGTCAGGATGCCTTTTCCTCCAGAGCTGAGCTATCCTAGCAGCTCAAGGTATTGCCTGACTCTCTCAAGCAGTCAGGATACCTTTCCCTCCAGAGCTGAGCTGTCCTAGCAGCTCGAGGAATTGGGATACCTTTCCCTCTGGAGCTGAGCTGTCCCATTGTAGCTCCAGCTGCCAGAGCTGTCCTAGCAGCTTGAGGTATTGCCTTACTCCACTGAACAGTCAGTATTCCTTCCCCCCAGAGTTGCAACACTTGCTTACAGACATTAGATTGCTTTCTGTGGTTTTTTTTTTTTTTTTCATCTTAAAGTTATTGTCAAAACAACTGGTCTAAGATGGAGGCAGATACAGATACAGAGATCCACGGCCAGGCACCAGACTGAGATCCAGGAATCCAATTGATGACAGAGAGATACTGCAGGCAAGGGATGTCGAGATCATGATGGGAGGACGTGCAGAGATGACCAGCCACACTAGTGGAAGCCCATGAACTGTGGACTGGTGGCTGTGGAGCCCTCTGGATACAGAAGATGGTTGTTTGGCTCAAACTGTTTGGGGGGCACCAAGGCAGGGGGATCAGGATCTGTCCCTGGTCTATGGGCAGGCTTCTGGAATCCAGTGCCTGTGGTGTGACACCTTGCACAGTCTTGTTGCAGTGGGAAGGGGCTTGGACCTGCCTGGGCTCAGTGTGCTGGGCTCTGCTGACTCCCCATGGGAGACCTCGATTTGGGGGATGTGGGGTTGCGGGGTGGCTTGGGAAAGAGGGCTGGGTGGTGGGTGGAGGGAGGAGGGGGTGTTGTGGATAGTATGTGGAGTAGAAAATTTCTTAATAAAGAAAAATAAATAAATGAATAGATAAATAAATAAACAAACAAACTGATCTAACCTGAAGTTATTACAAGGCTTGGTTTCAGCCAAATGATGCACACCAAGATTTTTAACTGTATCTTTTTAGCATTAAGAGACTTCAGGCCACTTTGGCTCTGGAGGAGTTTCAGTTGTTCTCCTTAATCATTAACCTGAGCTGCAATTGAAAGCACCTCCTTAGGCCTTAGTTGTGAGACATATCCTTGTATATACATTTATTCATCAAAGCTCTGTATAAGCTAACATTATAAATTAGATGGTAAAAAAAAATTTCCCACCACACAATTCAACAATGTCAGATATCAGAGAGAGATAGCAACAGCAAGCATGCAAAGGGACAACAGAAGAAAAAGACATTCTGTGGTCTTGGGGGCCTTGCCTGAAAATTATCCAACAGGGGGTTGCCTCCTGGTGGGCCAACACTCTGAACCTCAATCATCACCTGTTGACCCCAGCATGACTACTGGAAAAATGACTAATCCTCAGAATAAACAAATTAAAAAAATGTATGCTAGAGTAAATACTTTCATATGCAAAGAGGATTTATTATTTAAATTGGCCTGTGTTCCTCTATCCTTACATGAAACTATGTTTACAATCTGGAAAGAAGACAACAGCTTACTGTTGTAATATTTCTACTAATATTAATTGAGCACCAGCAAGAGAGCTCAGTGGGAAAGGACTCTGGTATGCAAGGCTGGAAACCTGGCCTTCATCACCATATGAAGAGGACCAAAAGTAGAAACCACAAAGCTGTCTTCTGGTCTCCACATAACTGCCATGGCCTACAAACCCATAATCACATTACATACACACCATAAATGTTTGTTAAAAAATAAATCAAAAAAAATAAATAAATAAATCATAGTGCCATTGCATTATCTGGCAGTACTTTATGATGAAATGCCAAATGGTTAACTAATGGAGACAAAGAGAAGTATAGGATGGATATATATATATATATATATATATATATATATATATATATATATTCAAGCTATGGTATGAGATATAGTTGATTATCCTACTTTATAACATCTCAATCAGATAAATGAAAATACTGCTTTGAATACAGATGAGATGCTATGGGCCCCAACAGAAATATGAAATAGAAATTCAACATAACAAAGCCATCAAAGAATTCTTCCAGAGGAACCTAAATCTCAAGGAGTATTTGGTGTTATTTAGCTTTTAATATATCAAGCTGTTTCTGCTATGAATTTTATGTATGCTCTCATAGCTTCCCCAAGACTTTCTAACAGCTTAGATTGATCCTTCCTTCAGCATACACATTTAAGGTATTTGGATACAGTCACTTAGGCAAGGTCTCCTGCCCCTAGGATCTCTGTTATTTTTTTAGCATTTGAATTAGATGTCCACCTTCTACAATTATCCCTTTTAGCAAACATCCAAAGTTGTGGTGGCATTGTGTTCCCCAAAATGTTGTGCACCCTAATAAACTTATCTGGGGTCGGAGAGAGAACAGCCACAATATTAAACATAGAGGTTAGGCAGTGGCAGCACACGCCTTTAATCCTAGCATTCCAAAGGCAGAAATCCATGTGTTCAAGGATACAGCCAAGCATGGTGACTCACGCCTTTAATCCCAGAAAGTGAGCCTTTAATCCCAGGGAGTGATGGTAGAAAGCAGAAAGGTATATAAGGTGTGAGGACCAGAAACTAGAAGCATTTGGCTGGTTAAGCCTTTAGGTTTTTGAGCAGCAGTTCAACTGAGATTCATTCTGGATGAGGACTCAGAGGCTTCCAGTCTGAGGAAACAGGATCAGCTGAAGAACTGGCAAGGTGAGGTGGCTGTGGCCTGTTCTGTCTCTCTGATCTTCCAGTGTTCACCCCAATACCTGGCTCCAGGTTTGTTCTTATTAATAAGAACTTTTTAAGATTCCTGCTACAAAGTCAGGGACAACTCCAGACAGGATCCAAGGACAAATGACAGACCACCTGCTAGGCCCCTGAGGCCCCTGAATTAAAGTAAACACCCATATGGAGACACTACCTTGGCCAGGCAGATGTTACATACATAGCTTCGCTTCTTGTGCAAATTAAGCTCAGACCTCACTTTCTCTCACACCCCAAGTGGCACCACAGGGCAACTTACTTAGAACCAAAGGGTTTTCTTCCTACCAGGTGCTTCAAGCTCTGATGCAAGTTACCTAGCTATCAAGTATCCTTTCCCTGCCCTGCCAGAAAATGGTGACATAGGAAAATAAGGGCAGTTTTATTTTAGTGAATCATAGACTCTCTTACCTTACCATCTGTAAGGCTGTAGTTTGAGCACATTTATGATGGACTCATAATGTTTCACCTAACCACTTCTAGGGATATATTTTGAGCACATAAATTATCTTTTGGACTTACTTTAGGCCTTATCTGACCCCACTTCTCCTTTATTCACTCCTCTTTTGGGTTGCAAATGAAGCTGACTCTCACTGTTCTTGTGGGGACCTTGAAAGATTTTGCACTGTATTGTAAAAGAGTGGCTGCTGGTGAGTTTGTAGACTGGTGACCTGAGAGGAATGGCAGAACTTTGTTACAGAGGAATAAAGTGGATGAATGAAAGAGCTTGGTGTATTAGATTCCTTCACTTCAGATTATTCTTGACATTGGTAGCGCCTCTTCTGGAGACCTTGGGAAGGAGAATATTAGAGGCTGGACCCTAATAGTTTTCATTAATGAAGCATTTAATGTTTCTTATATTCTCTTCTATTAAGCATTTTAACATTAACATTGTTAAACTGTGTTGACAAAACAGCACACATTAGGAGTACATCATATACCCTCAGACTTGTACTCAAAAGGCAGACACATAAGGATCATGAGTTCAAATGTATACCTGAATCAATACTGACACACAAGAAAGGTTGAATAACAAACAACAAAATCTCAAGGGAATTTGTGAAAATATAAAAACAAAACTAGAAACAACCCACCATCCTTTTACAGACATCCTTACTTGAAATGTATGATCACACACTGCCTGATATTTAAATAAACAATGGACCACTTAGATGATGGGCATACCAATCTAAACATTACAGCAGAAAAATTCCTATCACTAAGTAAAAGCACAATAGAAGATGAACAAAAGCCACAGAAGGAATATAAGGACCACAAAATAAACTTAAATTAAATGGATTTGCCACACATATAAGCACACTTTAGTATCTACCTCAGATGTTTCAAAATAGAAACCACAATGAAGTGATTTCCACCATCAGTCTTCAGTGAACATGGTAAGCAATTTACTTCCTTCAAGGCTATGATGAAAAATAAATGAAATGTGATTTTTTTTCTTGAAGATGAAGACAACTGTGATGTCTAAAGTCTTTACCAAATCATTTATATAAATAAGGTTTTTCTCTTGTGTGAGTTTGTTCCCATTTCCTGACTTCAAAATGATATAAATAGGCTTCAAAATATTTAAAGCACTAGACACATGGCTGGGTAGTTAAGAAATGTTCATTCCCAGGATCAAGGTAAGATTTTTGAAAACTTTCTGTAATTCCTGCTACAAGATTCAAGGGTCTAACATTTCATAGTGCAAGTGTTACAGCTTTGGAGAAAAATGTACCCTGGCTCAGAGGTCAGGCTATAGCTACAGCTGTGAAGGGATCGTACTGATTACATTCATAGGGTTTCTCTCTAGTATGTGTTCTTTTATGCTTTAAAAGATTACTCTTACGTGCAAAGGCTTTACCACATTGGTTACATTCATAGGGTTTCTCTCCAGTGTGTGTTCTTTTATGTATTTGAAGAGTACCGTGACGTGCAAAGGCTTTACCACACTGATCACATTCATAGGGTTTCTCTCCAGTATGTGCTCTTTTATGCATTTGAAGATTACTGTGACGTGCAAAGACTTTACCACATTGATTACATTCATAGGGTTTCTCTCCAGTATGTGTTTTTGTATGCACTTGAAGATGAGTGTGATGTGCAAAGGCTTTACCACACTGATTACATTCATAGGGTTTCTCTCCAGTATGTGTTCTTGTATGCACTTGAAGATTACTATATTGTGCAAAGGCTTTACCACACTGATTACATTCATAGGGTTTCTCTCCAGTATGTGTTCTTTTATGCATTTGAAGATGACTGTGCTGTGCAAAGGCTTTACCACACTGATTACATTCATAGGGTTTCTCTCCAGTATGTGCTCTTTTATGCATTTGAAGACTACTCTGTTGTGCAAAGACTTTACCACATTGACTACATTCATAGGGTTTCTCTCCAGTGTGTGTTCCTTTATGCTTTCGAAGATAACTCTGACATGCAAAGGCTTTACCACACTGATCACATTCATAGGGTTTATCTCCAGTATATGTTCTTTCATGCATTTGAAGAGTATTGTGGTAAGCAAAGGCTTTACCACACTGATTGCATTCATAGGGTTTCTCTCCAGTATGTGTTCTTTTATGCACTTGAAGAGTACTAAGACGTGCAAAGGCTTTACCACATTGATTACATTCATAGGGTTTCTCTCCAGTATGTGTTCTTTGATGCCTTTGAAGATGACTATGCTGTGCAAAGGCTTTACCACACTGATTACATTCATGGGGTTTCTCTCCAGTATGTATTCTTTGATGTCTTCGAAGATGACTGTGCTGTGCAAAGACTTTACCACACTGATTACATTCATGGGGTTTCTCTCCAGTATACATTCTTTCATTACTTTGAAGCTGACTATCGTATGCAAAGGCACATTGAGTATATACAGAAGGTTTCTCTCCACTTTGGCTTCTTTCATGCCTGCAAGGATAATTGGCACATGTAAAAGCCTTACCACATTCAATGCACTGTTGATTCTTTATATCTGTATGAATTAATTTTACAATTTGGTACAATTATAAAGAGTAATCAGATCTTAAGGTTTTATCACTGTGTTTACACTCATGTTGTATTTATACAGTCCTCAAACTCACAGGGCTTTTCTGTAGTGTGAGTTTCTTGATGTATTAACAATGAAGGTAGAAAACCAATTACTTGTATACTTGAATTAAATTCAACAAGTATATTCAATGTGGGGACTGCTACATATTTTCTAATTGTACTGAGAGAGAGGAGTGTTATGTTTTTCTATATCCCTATGATCCTATGGCTTGTATCCACAGTGACATATGATATACCTAGTTAAGAAATAACAAATAAAAAATTTTCACGTTGAATTCAGTTTGACTTTCTGTCCTCATAGACTTGTGGTATACGGATTAAGGTTTTTCCATGACAATGCCTCTTGATTCTTGACTCTAAAAACCCCTCTCACTAAACAGCATAGTCACAAGTATATGAGCAATACTAGCTTTACTATGGACTCTTTCTTACTAGAAAGTTTTGGAGATATACTTATCACCTCTTTACTGTGTATACATTTTGTAATATGAGTAGGATGAAATAAATGGATTGATAGTTCTAAAGCATAGCTCTCCTGGTGCTATGATTCAAATGGTGCTATCTGTTGAGGCATTGTTTCCTTGTCTTCTTTCTTAAAGGAATGCCTTGCAAATGCAATTCACCTATGTAAAATTGAGGTATATGGTTTTGTGAGAACTTCATGATCATCAATATACTTTAAGTGGTGGTTATTTACACTGTTGCTTTTGTTTAAAACTTCCAGGACACATTACAATTTCTTCAGAGGCACATTTGTATCAGCTTGCACATGAAAATTACCTTCCATATCTTCTAGAACTTTGACAATGTTCTTCAATATTATGGTCTTCCCAAATGTATCCTAAAATATAGCACCAGAAAATGTGTGTTATATTATTGAAAACTGCAAAATTTAAGTTACTATCTTCAGTGAATCTTAGAACCATGCCTGATTTATTCACCTTATCTTCTTCTTTTTCAATCAAATTACAGAACAGCATCAATAACCAAGTAACAGTTGTCATTTTATTTTAAAATGTGAAGGAAAATTCAGTCTTACCTATAATAGTGAGGTTCCTGTAAGTCTCCAGCATCACATCTTTGTAGAGATACTTCTGGGAAGGATTCAGCAAAGCCCACTCTTCCTTAGTGAAGTCAACATGCACATCATCATAGGTCACTGAATTCTAAAACATCCCATACATGTGTACAAAAGAAAGCATGATACTGATATTGTAAATGTATACTTCTTTGACAGTATAGTCATATAATTCTGGTTCTCCCCACACTTATACTATGACATAGACATTATAAAGTAATCACAAAGTCACTTTAGAAGGAAACTGAATAGGAGGGTCACCTCTGTCATTTCTTTACCCTTTGAATGGGATATCACCTTGCAAGGGAAATGCCTATTACCAAACATAGAGAGACAAGAAAACAGATAAACAGTACAGAGTACACGAGAGAAATTGTATGACAATTACTAACTACAAAGAAGAAAAATAAGATTGACAAGCTGGGTGTATTGGCTCACATGTTAACCCCAACACTCAAAAGGCAGAGGCAGTTAAATCTGCCTCTGAGTTGAATGCCAGCCTAGCCTATGCAATCAAGTCCAGGACAGCCAGAAGTACATATTAGGACCCTGTCTCCCATGCAAAAATCAGTCAAACAAACAAAAAGATAGAACCAAGGGGGTTTTACTGATGTTCTTACAAAGAGCTATGCATTCACTCCAGTTCTAAATCTATCTTCCAGAAACCTGAAGTGTCCCAATTCAAACTGTAACATCAATAAGATTTTACTAAAAGGCACTGCATGTTGTAACAGTTATAAATGGACAGATGAAAACATTAGCAATATGAATGTTGATCATAAATAATCAACACAGAGCAGGAGAGATGTCTCAGTAGTAAAGAGCTCTTGCTGGTCTTGCAGAGAGGTGAGCTCAATTGCCAATATTTACGCAGGGGATCACAACTATCCACTATTCCAAGTTCAGGATTTCTGAGACCATCATTTGATCACCGTGAGGACCAAGTACCCTTGTGGTGCATATCCATGCATACAGGTAAAATACTCATATTCATTTAAAAATTCAAAACAAATACAACAGGCAGGAAGAAGGTCATGCACCTGCAATCCAATGACTCAGAAGGCTCAGGCAGTATGAATATGATGAATACATGGCATCCTGAGAAACAGAATGATACACTCTGCCTAATTTTAAAATTCAAGATATGGGTGAAGCTTAGTACAATAGCATATGCTTGACATGTACAAAAACCTACATCCCAGGCCCATTACCCAATAATATAAAAACAAAAAATCCAGGAATATTGGCCCACCTTTTATCCTAGGACTTGGGAGCCAGAGTCAGGGTGACCTCTGAGTTTGAGGCCAGCCTGGTGTATAGAGATATTTAGGATAGTCAGGGCTACACAGACAAATGTTGTCTTCAACAACAAACAAAATTTAAAAGAGCAGGATACCAAACTGCCTTAGCACTGAATAGCAATTGCTTCTACTATAGTTTATGTGATTTAGAGATAGAGTCTATAATGGTGGTGAAGGCATGACAATACAAGGAAGCTGGATGATTAGTTTTAACCACAACACAGTAGACACAAAGAACAGGAAATGGGTTGAGGCTATAGAGACACATATCACACCCCCAGTGAGGAATTTCATCCAGAAAGGCTCCTCCTACTTAAGGTTTTACAAGCAATCAAAAGAAAGTCACCAAGGAGAGACACATGTTCAAATACTTCATTCTATTTGGGAGGTTTTTCCTTCAATCAACTACATTCTGACCCAGGTCACTATAGGATCATGGTCATCCACAAAGAAAAATGCATTTAGTCACTTCAATGATCCTCATAATCTGCAGCAGCCCTCATACTGTTCAAATATCCAAAGTCTCTTATGACACTCAAGACAATCTCTTGACAGTGACATCTTATAAAATCAGAAAATGAGTTATTATCTTTCACAAAATGCCATTCACATTCCAAAACAGAGAAATGGAGACATAGCAAGGAAAGACTAAACCAAGGCAAAACTGAAGCACAGCAGGACAAATATTAAATCTTGTAGCTCTGCTTCAGATGCATGGAGCTTCAGTTTCAAAGGGCTCAGATCACCCTATCCCTGCAACTTCTCATACATCTCTCTCTCTAGTTACTTCCACTCCCTGTATGCAGCTAGCTCTCCATGGAAGATGTCTCAAACCTTATGTATCTCAACATCTTGTGGTCACAAAATGCAACCCAGGCTGTTGTGGAATATTATTTTAAGATGTGTTATATTTGTCTATACTGTGGAACATTTGTTTTAATGATGCAAAGATGTGTTGCATTCTTTTATGTTGCATTTGTTTAATTCTGTAAAGTTGTGATACTTCTAAAGCCTGTCTAAAATACTTGATTGGTCTAGTAAAGAGCTGAACAGCCAATAGCTTGGCAGGAAAAGATAGGCAGAGCCAGCAGGCAGAGAGAATAAATGGGAGGAGAAATCTGGGAGGAAAAAAAAGAAAGAATGAGGAAGAAAAGAAGAGAACACCAGGGGCCAGCTGCACAGCAAGTCATGGAATAAGAAGCAAAAAAAGGTACACAGAATGGAGAAAGATAAAAGCCCTGAGGTAAAATGTAGATGGGGTAATTTAAGAAAAGCTGGCTAGAATCAAGCCAAGCTAAGGCCAGGCATTTATGAGAAGAATAAGCCCCCATGTTTGTGATTTATTTGAGAGTTGGTGCAGGCAGGCCCCTAAAACAGTAAAGAATTTTTAAAAAATCCAACAACACTAGGCTTCATCCTCACAGCTTCATGCAATCTCCTCACTGACTCTGCAAAACACAGATGCCTACAACAATGCTGAACTGTAACCACAGACTAAGAATCCATGACCTTAAATCATGATTCCTTCTGGTTTCCAGGACCAACACATGATGAGTGATCCTGCAAAGTCTGATTTCTTAACTGGGGTGGACACTAATATACATGGACCATAGGTGCAGCAGGTTTAGTATGAAGCTGCTTCCAGGGACTAGGAATCATTTGCTTACTCCTTCCATAAATTGAAGGTTTAGCTGCATGGAGCTAGGTCATTTTACTAGGCTTTCATTCCATAGCAAGGGCATTCTCTATAATGGTGATAAACTCCTTGAAAATTCCTGCCTGTTTCAGCACTTGACTGCCATCTGAAACTACCCTTTCATTTTCATTTATTTCTGCCCCACTTGTTTTTTTTTTCAACTGTAGACCTGAATGAGTCATCAGTATTAACCATCCAACAGATTTGATATTCCATTTAAGAAATTAGCCCATTATTTTTTAATTCTGCATTACTAAATTTCCAGGGCATGGGCAGAATAAGATTTTGCAGCCAAAATATCATACAAATGACCTCTAGCTTAATTTTTATGGAGTCTATTTCTGACTGAAATCCTATAATCTCAAAGTCCACTTTCTGCCATTATTCTTAACATTCCCATCTTCCTGGTCCTACAAGAACAGCCAATTAAGTTCTGTATACAACTTACTCTGGTTTTCGCCACCTAAAGTCCCGATATCTTTCACATTCTTCCAAAAGACAACGTTCCCATGTTCTACCTAGCAACAAAATCACTTTTGTTTTTCCATTTTTTTTTGTTCTAACTTGGTTTTATGCTGCTGTGATTAAATCCCCTAACAAAAAACATCTCAGGCAATGAATGGGTTTATTTGGCTGATTGTGTCAGAAACTCAAGCTAACAATTGAAGGCAAAACCCATGGGCAAAGATTGTTTCCTGGCTTTCTCTCTTGCCTAGTCACTCTCATGCTCATATTGCTCCCTTTTCCAGCCAAGACCCACTTTCTTAGCAATATTGCCACCCTCAGTGGAGGAGTCTTCCCTCATCAATCTTCAATCAACACAATCTATCACAGACATAGCAGTTTCTGGCTATTATGAATAAAGCCACTATGAACATAGTTGGGCAAGTGTCATTTTGGTAGGATGGAGGAGCATCTTTTGGTTATATACCCAAGAGTGGTATAGCTGGGTCTTGAGGTAGATTGACTCCCAGTTTTCTGAGGATTGCATATTGATTTCCATAGTGGCTGTACAAGTTTGTACTTGCAACAGCAATGAATCCCTTTGCTCCACATCCTTGCCAGCATCAGCTGTCACTTGTGTTATTGAACTTAACCATTCTGACAGCTGTAAGATGAAATCTCAAAGTAGTTTTGATATGCATTTCCCTGATGGCTAAGATGCTGAACATTTCTTCAAGTCTTTCTCAGATATTTTAGATTCCTCTACTGAGAATTCTGTTTAGAGGGATACCCCATTATAATTGGATTATTTGGTTTGTTGTTGCCTAGTTTCTTGAGTTTTTTATTATCCTGAGTGAGGCAACCCAGAAGCACATAGACAAACATGGTGTACTCACTTACACATGGATATTAGCAGTTAAGTATTGTAGAATCACTGTAATCACAGTTAATCACAGTACAATCCATAGATGCAGAGAGGCTAAGTAACAACTCTAGGAGAGATGCATGGATCTCCCTGAAAAGAGGAAATAGAATAGATTTTTGTGGGTGGACTGGAGGCAGGTGAGGATGGGAACAGAAAGGGTCAGGTGAGTAAGGAAGGGACAGAGGGGGAAAAGACAGGGAGAGGTGACTGGAATGGGGAGCTTTTAGCAGGGAATGTCAGAACAGTGCAGTACAAACTTCCTGGAACCTATAAGGGTGACCCCAGTAAGGACTCCTGGTAATCAAGAATACAGAGGCTGAATCAGCCATCTTCTGTAAGCACATAAGGCTCTCAGTAGTGGGACTGGCACACCAAGCCAGCCACACAAGTTTAGAACCACACTTGTCCTGCCTTCAAGATATGCAGGAGCAATGGTGACTCAGAGCTTCTATAGTGGCCAAGCAATGACTGGTCTAACTTGAGGCCCAAGCTGTGAGAGGCTACAGGTCTTCTTAGATAATCAGAAGCTTACACACAGCTCCTTGCTTGCTCATGAGAGGCTACTTAGATATATTGCATGAGGGGCTCACTTTGCCTCTGCTGGTGAGTTTGGTTTCGGTCTTTTCCAAGACTAAGCAATTTTGTTTGGAGCTTTAGAGGCTTCTGCCCAGCACCATGGAGGAGCCATCAGAGCTGTTCGACCCTGTTCTGAAGTCAAAATC